GAGGAAATTTCCATTAATCTTGGAAAGAGCGATAATAGTTACTAGACTTAATAAATGTGTCCTTGATTAAGCAACCAAAATTAAATTGGATAGCAGATGTAACCGGAAGAGGAAATGATGACATAATCAAGATGTTAACATTCCATACCACTTCAAATATAAGGATCGGGAGGAAATTTCCATTAATCCCGGAAAGAGCGATAATAGTTACTAGACTTAATAAATGTGTCCTTGATTACAAACCAAAATTAAATTGGATAGCAGATGTAACCGGAAGAGGAAATGATGACATAATCAAGATGTTAACATTCCATTACCACTTCAAATATAAGGATCGGAAGAGGGAGGAAATTTCCATTAATCCTGGAAAGAGCGATAATAGTTACTAGACTTAATAAATGTGTCCTTGATTAAGCAAACCAAAATTAAATTGGATAGCAGATGTAACCGGAAGAGAAAATGATGACATAATCAAGATGTTAACATTCCATACCACTTCAAATATAAGGATCGGGAGGAAATTTCCATTAATCCTGAGAAAAGAGCGATAATAGTTACTAGACTTAATAAATGTGTCCTTGATTAAGCAAACCAAAATTAAATTGGATAGCAGATGTAACCGGAAGAGAAAATGATGACATAATCAAGATGTTAACATTCCATACCACTTCAAATATAAGGATCGGGAGGAAATTTCCATTAATCCCGAAAAGAGCGATAATAGTTACTAGACTTAATAAATGTGTCCTTGATTAACAAACCAAAATTAAATTGATAGCAGATGTAACCGGAAGAGAAAATGATGACATAATCAAGATGTTAACATTCCATACCACTTCAAATATAAGGATCGGGAGGAAATTTCCATTAATCCCTTGGAAAGAGCGATAATAGTTACTAGACTTAATAAATGTGTCCTTGATTAAGCAAACCAAAATTAAATTGGATAGCAGATGTAACCGGAAGAGGAAATGATGACATAATCAAGATGTTAACATTCCATACCACTTCAAATATAAGGATCGGGAGGAAATTTCCATTAATCCTGGAAAGAGCGATAATAGTTACTAGACTTAATAAATGTGTCCTTGATTGCAAACCAAAATTAAATTGGATAGCAGATGTAACCGGAAGAGAAATGATGACATAATCAAGATGTTAACATTCCATACCACTTCAAATATAAGGATCGGGAGGAAATTTCCATTAATCTTGGAAAGAGCGATAATAGTTACTAGACTTAATAAATGTGTCCTTGATTGCCAAACCAAAATTAAATTGATAGCAGATGTAACCGGAAGAGGAAATGATGACATAATCAAGATGTTAACATTCCATACCACTTCAAATATAAGGATCGGGAGGAAATTTCCATTAATCCCGGAAAGAGCGATAATAGTTACTAGACTTAATAAATGTGTCCTTGATTAAGCAAACCAAAATTAAATTGGATAGCAGATGTAACCGGAAGAGAAAATGATGACATAATCAAGATGTTAACATTCCATACCACTTCAAATATAAGGATCGGGGAGGAAATTTCCATTAATCCCTGAAAGAGCGATAATAGTTACTAGACTTAATAAATGTGTCCTTGATTGCTAAACCAAAATTAAATTGGATAGCAGATGTAACCGAAGAGAAAATGATGACATAATTCAAGATGTTAACATTCCATACCACTTCAAATATAAGGATCGGGAGGAAAATTAATCTTGGAAAGAGAGGAACATTAATAGTAATAGTTACTAGACTTAATAAATGTGTCCTTGATTAAGCAACCAAAATTAAATTGATAGCAGATGTAACCGGAAGAGGAAAAATGATGACATAATCAAGATGTTAACATTCCATACCACTTCAAATATAAGGATCGGGAGGAAATTTCCATTAATCCCGGAAAGAGCGATAATAGTTACTAGACTTAATAAATGTGTCCTTGATTAAGCAAACCAAAATTAAATTGGATAGCAGATGTAACCGGAAGAGAAATGATGACATAATCAAGATGTTAACATTCCATACCACTTCAAATATAAGGATCGGGAGGAAATTTCCATTAATCTTGGAAAGAGCGATAATAGTTACTAGACTTAATAAATGTGTCCTTGATTAACAAACCAAAATTAAATTGATAGCAGATGTAACCGGAAGAGAAAATGATGACATAATCAAGATGTTAACATTCCATACCACTTCAAATATAAGGATCGGGAGGAAATTTCCATTAATCCTGGAAAGAGCGATAATAGTTACTAGACTTAATAAATGTGATTAAGCAAACCAAAATTAAATTTGATTAAGAGGAAATGATGACATAAAAATTAAATTCCATTCCACTTCAAATATAAGGATCGAGGAATGTAATCCGGAAAGATAATAGTTACTAAAATGATGACACCAAAATTAAAGATGTTAACGGAAGAGGAAATTCATAATCATATTCCATACTTCAAATATAAGGATCGGGAGGAAATTTCCATTAATCTTGGAAAGAGCGATAATAGTTACTAGACTTAATAAATGTGTCCTTGATTAAAAACCAAAATTAAATTGGATAGCAGATGTAACCGGAAGAGGAAATGATGACATAATCAAGATGTTAACATTCCATACCACTTCAAATATAAGGATGGGAGGAATTTCCATTAATCTTGGAAAGAGCGATAATAGTTACTAGACTTAATAAATGTGTCCTTGATTGTTAAACCAAAATTAAATTGATAGCAGATGTAACCGGAAGAAAAAATGATGACATAATCAAGATGTTAACATTCCATACCTTTCAAATATAAGGATCGGGAGGAAATTTCCATTAATCCCTGAAAGAGCGATAACAGTTACTAGACTTAATAAATGTGTCCTTGATTACAAACCAAAATTAAATTGGATAGCAGATGTAACCGGAAGAGGAAAATGATGACATAATCAAGATGTTAACATTCCATACCACTTCAAATATAAGGATCGGGAGGAAATTTCCATTAATCTATGGAAAGAGCGATAATAGTTACCAGACTTAATAAATGTGAAACCATTTGATTGCCAAATCAAAATTAAATTGGATAGCAGATGTAACCGTGTTTTCCTAAAATGATGACATAATCAAGATGTTAACATTCCATACCACTTCAAATATAAGGATCGGGAGGAAATTTCCATTAATAGTGGAAAGAGCGATAATAGTTACTAGACTTAATAAATGTGTCCTTGATTAACCAACCAAAATTAAAAACCAAAATTAAATTGGATCAATATAAGATGTAATTAATCGGAAAGAGGAAATGATGACATAATCAAGATGTTAACATTCCATACCACTAACATTCAAATATAAAGGATCGGGAGGAAATTTCCATTAATCCTGGAAAGAGAAATAATACCATTAATAATAAATGTGTCAATTTGATTAAGCAACCAAAATTAAATTGATAGCAGATGTAACCGGAAGAGGAAATGACATAATCAAGATGTTAACATTCCATACTCTTTCAAATAAAAGGATCGGAAGGAAACCCACCATCCTTGGAAAGACGATAATAGTTACAGACTTAATAAATGTGTCCTTGATTAAGCAAACAAAATTAAATTGGATAGCAGATGTAACCTAATAAATGATGACATAATCAAGATGTTAACATTTCAACCTTTCAAATAAAGGATCGGGGAGGAAATTTCCATCAATCCTGGAAAGAGCGATAACAGTTACTGGACTTGAGAAATGTGTTTTGATAAAGCAACTAAAATTAAGATTGGATAGCAGATGTAATATAAAGAGGAAATGAACCCATAATCAATAGTGTTAACATTCCATAACACTTCAAAACTTAAGAAACGTGTTTTCCTAAAATCATGACAAATCAAGTCTTTAATATTTCTACTCTTTCACAATAAAAGGTCCTGAGGAAACAAACCATCAAAATTAAATTGGATAACAGATGGACTTGAGAAGTGTTTTTTTTAAAATGATGACATAATCAAGATGTTAACATTCCATACCTTTCTTCAAATAAAGGATCGGGAGGAAATTTCCATTAATCTTGGAAAGAGCGATAATAGTTACTAGACTTAATAAATGTTTCTTGATTAAAAAACAAAATTAAATTGATAGCAGTTCACAGACGGAAGAGAAAATGATGACATTTCAAGATGTTAACATTCCATGTCCACTTCAAATAAGGATCGGGAGGAAAATTAATCAGGCGATATAGTTACTAGACTTAATAAATACCTCTTGATTAAACTAATTTCAAAATTACAATTGGAAGTTGAACTTGGAAGATGAAATGATAATCAAGATGTTAACATTCCATTCCACTTCAAATATAAGGATCGGAGGAAATTAATTTCCGCATAATAGTTACTAGACTTAGGAAAAAGTCCTGATTAACAAACCAAAATTAAATTGGATAGCAGATAAAACCGGAAGAGAAAAATGATGACACAAGATGTTAAATATTCCATTCCACCAACCGACCTTAATTGGACTTACGAAACAAAATTAAATTGTAACGGAAGAGGAAATGTCATAATCAAAGATGTTAACATTCCATACCACTTGAAATATAAGGATCGGGAGGAAATTTCCATTAATCTTGGAAAGAGCGAAAATAATTACTAATAGACTTCCTCAATGATGCTATCCTTGATTAGTGTTTCTCAACCAATATTCCGGAAAATAATGGATAGCAAATTTAAAGGGTTCCGGAAGAAAAGATGAGATATCAAGATGTTAACTTTTTCCACTTTTATTTAATTTCATATACGTAATATTCCTAAATATACGCAAGACACCCCTCTCCTCTCAACTTGATAAATGAAATCCGTGTTTACTCTAAAATTCGACCTTGATATATTTGTAACGGAAGCAAAAATGAAAACATATGTTTCACTTGTTAAAATTCCAAAGGAACATCAAATATATTGGATTGAAAGGACATTTTTTGCCTTAATTTGGGCAACCAAAATTCTTAACCGGAAGAGAAAATGATTTAATCAAGATGTTTTACCATTTGCCAGTAAGATTTTAAATTTTTTTACAAACCAAAAATTAAAATCTGATGAAGAGGAAATTATGTTTTCGTCAAGATTTAACATTTATTCCACTTCAAATATTTGATATTAGTTACTTATGTTTAAACCAAAAAGAAAACGTTTGAGGTTAGAATAAGAAAAGGTTGAAAGAAAAACTTAATAAAGTATTATAAACGAACAAAATTAAATTTTATTTAGCATAAACCAAGAAGAAAATTTGACATAATCAAGATATTCATTTTTCCAAACCAGTTATTCAAAAATATATACTAGGAAACGCACAATAATTGCAAAATTGTAATATAGACACCATCTAAATGTGTCCTGATTATGTTATTAAAAATTAAATTGGATTGCAGATGCAACCGGAAGAGGAAATTTGTACATAATCAGTATGAAAACCATCATTCACTAGAAAAAATATAAGGAGCGGGAGGGACTCGGACATTACGAAATCTTTAATTTTTACTTTCTTGAAAAACTCCTTGATGAAGCAACAAAAATTAAATTGATAATTTTATTTAGCATTAAGAAAAATTTGATATAAAAGATGTTAAGTTTCCTTAAACCAGTTATTCAAAAATATATAGGATATTTATGAAGGGAACTACTTGATGAAAATAAAATGATGAAAGATATGGTGAATAATTTTGTTTTTGCGGGGGGTTCCTTGAAAATGTAAATTTAAGGGGATAGCAGATGTAAAAAAGGTTTAGAAATGATGCATAACCTTTTATGTTAAATTCCATACCTCTTCAAATATAAGGATGGAGGCTTCTCTTCCCAAACGCCTCTCTTCCAAACTAGACTAATAAATGTGTCTCTTTCAAACCAAAATTAAAATAGCAGGTAACTTGATCTTAAATCAAACGGTTTCTTCAAAAACGGCCTCTCTTCCAAATCCCGAAAGAGCGGCTTCTCTTCAAACAAAATTCTCTTGATAACGGCCTCTCGGAAGAAAATGATGACATAATCAAGATGTTAACATTCCAAACTACTTCAAAATAAGGATCAGGAGGAAATTTCCATTAATCTTGGAAAGAGGCTTAACAAGCGGCTTTAATCCAAATGTGTCCTTCTTCCAAACGGCTTCTCTTAAATTGGATAGCATCTTAAAATGATGACATAATCAAGATGTTAACATTCCATACCACTTCAAATCCAAGGGCATTAATCCTGTTCCATACGGTTACTTCCTTGATTACAACCAAAATTAAATTGAAGCAGGCGGGAGAGAAATGATGACATAATCAAGATGTTAACATTCCATACCCAAACGGGCTTCTCTTGAAAGGCGTAATAGTTACTAGACTTAATAAAACGGCTTCTCTTCCAAACCAAAATTAAATTGATAGCAACTTCTTCCGGAAGAAAATGATGACATAATCAAGATGTTAACATTCCAAACCACTTCTCTTATAAGGGCTTCTCTTCCATTAATCTTCCAAACTCTTCCAAACTAGCCTCTCTTCCAAACGGCCTCTCTTCCAAACAGCCTCTCTTTAAAACGGCCTCAGATCCAAACGGAAGAGGAAATGATGACCTAATCAAAACGTTAACATTCCTTCTTCAAATAAAAGGTTGGGAGGAAAACGGCTCAATTCCAAACGGCTCTCTTAAACTAGACTTTAAACGGCTTCTCTTCAAACGGCCTCTCTTTAAAACGGCTTCTCTTCCAAACGGCCTCTTCCAAACGGCTTCTCTTCAAAAGGTTCTCTTCAAACGGCCTCTCTTTAAAACGGCTTCCAAACGTCCTATCTTTTCAAACGGCTTGAGAAGAAAAAACGGCTCCTGTTCAAACGGCCTCTCTTCCAAACGACTTCTCTTCCAAACGGCCTCTTCCAAACGGCTTCTAACGGCCTCTCTCTTCCAAACTGATTCTTTAAAACCTCTTCTCTCAAACGCCTCTCTTCCAAACGGCTTCTCTTCCAAACGACCTCCTCTTAAAAACGGCTTGTCTTCCAAACAGCCTATCTTCCAAACGGCTTCTCTTCAAACGGCTTCTCTTCAAAACGCCTCTCTTCCAAACGGCTTCTTCAAACGGCCTCTCTTCAAACAGCTTCTCTTCAAACAGCCTCTCTTCCAAACGGCTTCTCTTCCAAACGGCTCTCTCTTTAACAGCTTCTCTTCCAAACAGGCCTCTCTTCCAAGCGGCTTCTCAAAACGGCCTCTTCAAACGCTTCTCTTCAAACGGCCTCACTTCAAACAGCTTCTCTTCCAAACGGCCTCACTTCAAGTAGCTTCTCTTCCAAACGGCCTCTCTTCCAAACGACTACTCTTCAAACGGCCTCTCTTCATAAAACAGCTTCTCTTCAAACCTCTCTTCCAAACGGCCTCTCTTTAAAACGGCTTCTTCCAAATGGCTTCTCTTCAAACGGACTTCTCTTCCAAACGGCCTCTCTTTCAAACAGCTTCTCTTTAAAACACTATCTTCAAAAAAAGGTTCTCTTCCAAACCTCAATCAATCTTCCAAACGGCCTCTTTTTAAACGGCTTCTCTTCCAAGAACGGCCTCTCTTCAAATAATCTTCTCTTCCAAACGGCTCTCTTCAAACGGCCTCTCTTCCAAACGGCTTCTCTGAAAAGCAACCTCCCCACTTCAAACAGCTTCTCTTCAAACAGCCTCTCTCTTCCAAACAGCTTCTCTTCAAACAGCCTCTCTTCCAAACGGTTTCTCTTCCACAGCCTCTCTTCCAACCACTTCTCTCCAAACGGCCTCTCTTCCAAACTTTAGAACTCAAGGCTGAAAATCGGGTACTGTTATTATATTTGGGCAGGAGTTAAGTTCTCACATTCCAATCTAATAGAGTTAACAGCTACTGAACTTGTTGGAGAAGAATTATTTCCACCCTCAACCTCTGTCTCACAGCTGGGATGACGGGTCTCTCACTGTTCTATCGCTACTAACACGGTAAAATGCTTGGACGAACTACATCCTCGGTTCCCGCTGAGAATGTAGTTCCTTCACACTTACCTTGCCTAAAACTTCATAGTAGTAAATACTGAAAACATTTTTCCTCCATATTCCCCTCAGCGCAAAATGACATAATCGAACAGCTTCTTCCCATAACTACTTCCTTTGATTCCCAGGAGGATGTTTCAATCGATCACTACAATCTTATCCAGTTACTGGGCTTGAGAGAAATCTTCCCTCTTACATATAAATTAGTCTAGGGGTTAACAGTTATCTTCCCCTCTTATCTATATAAACTGCCCCTCTAACTCAGAGTGCCTCAAATAAAAGGTACAGGTGAACCTTACTGTAAAAAAATAAAAAAATAAAAAATAAATAATTATAGCTATAGTTGATAAAATAATTTACAGCTACAAGTGGTCTGAAAGTCTTGTCACGTCTACCAAATGGTAATGAGAACAATAAATAAGTAATACAGTAACAGTAATACAAAGCACATGTACTGGATTCACTTTATTCATAATGATCATGTTAACATTCCATACACTTCAAATAAAAATGCCTCTCTTCCAAATGGCCTCTCTTCCAACTGGCCTCTCTCCCAAACGGCCTCTCTTCCAAATGGCCTCTCTTCAAACGTTGCACTCTCTCCCAAACGGCCTCTCTTCCAAACAGCCTCCTTCAAAGAAGAGAAAATCCTCTCTCACCAAACGGCCTCACTTCAAACCGGCCTCTTCCAAACGCCTCTCTTTCAATTCCAAACCTCTCTTCAAACAGCTTCCATTCCAAACGGCCTCTCTTCCAAATGGCCTCTCTTCCAAACGGCCTCTCTTCCAAACAGCCTCTCTTCCAACAGCTTCAATTCAAACAGCCTCTCTTCAAAATCGGGTACTGTTATTATGTAACAATGTAAATCGGTATAGTTATTATGTAACAATGTAAATATTCCAAATGTTCTCTTCCAAACGGCCTCTCTTCAAACGGACCTCTCTTCAAACTGTGGGAACTCGTGTCTGCCATTGAGAAAATAAAAAATGACATAATCACAGGGTGTTTCAAAAAAATTGATATCATTTCACAATCCTAATAACTTTGTTAGATCTTCTTCAAATGACTTCAAATTGAGAAGAAAATAATGACATAATCAAGATGTTAACATTCCACACTACTTCAAATAAAAAGGTTAGGAAAACCTCAATCAATACGAGAAAAGATAAAATGATGACATAATCAAGATGTTGACGTTCCACACTACTTCAAAAGAAAAGGTTGGAAGGAAACTCCATCCATATTGCAAAAGAGATAACAGCAACTGACTTGAGAAGAGAAAATAATGACATAATCAAGATGTTGATGTTCCACACTACTTCAAAGAAAAAGGTTAGAAGGACCCATCAATCAATATTGCAAAGAGAGATAACAACTACTGGAGCGAGAAGAGAAAATAATGACATAATCAAGATGTTGACGTTCACCCCTACTTCAAAAAAAAGGTTACCAAGAGAGGAAGGAAAACTCCTAAGAATCCATACTGAAAAAAGATAACAGCAACTGGACTTGAGAAGAGAAAATAATGACATAATCAAGATGTTGATGTTCACACCCTTCAAATAAAAAAGGTTAGGAAAACACCCATCAATACTGAAAAAGAGCGATAACAGCTACTGGACTTGAGAAGAGAAAATAATGACATAATCAAGATGTTGACGTTCCACACTACTTCAAATAAAAGGTTAGGAAGGAACCTCCCATCCATACTGCAAAGAGAGATAACATAAACTGGACTTGAGAAGAGAAAATAATGACATAATAATCAAGATGTTGATGTTCCACACTACTTCAATGAAAAGGTTAAGAAGGAAACACCCATCAATACTGGAAAAGAGATAACAGCTACTGGACTTGAGAAGAAAATAATGACATAATCAAGATGTTGACGTTCCACACTACTTCAAAAAAAAGGTTAGGAAGGAAACCCCATCCATATACTAAAAGAGAGATAACAGCAACTGGACTTGAGAAGAAAATAATGACATAATCAAGATGTTGATGTTCCACACCCCTTCAAAAAAAAGGTTAGGAAGAAACACCCATCAATACTGGAAAGAGAGATAACAGCTACTGGACTTGAGAAGAGAAAATAATGACATAATCAAGATGTTGACGTTCCACACTACTTCAAAGAAAAGGTTAGGAAGGAAAACCCCATCCCTTCAATAAAAAGGTTAAGTTTGAAAGATTGTCAATACTGGAAAGAGAGATAACATATTTGACTTGACTCCAAAGAAGAGAAAATAATGACATAATCAAGATGTTGACGTTTGAGACTCTACTTAAAAATTCTTTTAAAGGAAGGCAAAAACCCCATTTAAAAAAGGAAAGAGCGATAACAGCAACTGGACTTGAGAAAAGAAAAATAATGACATAATCAAGATGTTGTTTTAAATATAATTCAATGAAAAAGGTTTTTAAAACCCGGAAAAAGAGATAACATTACCATATAGACTTGAAGAGAAAATAATGACTAATTCAAGTAAAGTTGACGAAGAACAACGTACTTCAAAGAAAAGGTTTTAAAGGAAAAACCCATCCATATTAAAATAATAACAAAAATTAAGAAGAATAAATTATGTTGATGAAGAAGATCCTTAATGAAAATCAAAATGTTGAAGGATTCATCCAGAAAACTGAAAAAAAAATTAAAAATGAAAAAACGTAATCAAAAATTATGAAAGTCTAATATTTTGTCATTTGCTCTGGACCAGACAAAAAGAGAAAAGCTCATAATCAAGATCTGATGTCCCACATTCTTGGTTAAAAGGTTCTGTGATAAATTCTCATCAATACTGGAAAGAGAGATAAAAAACTGGACTTGAGATTTTGAAAAAATGACATAATCAAAATGTTGACGTTCACACTTCTTCAAGAAAAGGTTAGGAAGGAAACTCCCATCCATTCTGCAAAGAGAGATAACATTCTCTGTCTTGAGAAGAGAAGTGCAATGACATAAAGTTGAATCAAGAAAGGTTTGTTTATGGAAAATCAACTTTTTTAGGAATTGAGAAGAGAAAATAAATTATATATTCAATGAAAATTAAGGAAATATATCAATAATAAATAGAGATAATTTATAATCTTTAGGAGAGAAAATAATGACATAATCAAAAGGTTGATGTTCCACAATATATTTAAAAGAAAAGGTTAGGAAGGAAACACCCATTAATACTGTAAATAGAGATAAGAGTTTTTATTACATTTAGAAAAAATGAAATAATCAAGATGTTGACGTTCCACACTACTTCAAAAAAAGGTTAGGAAGAAAACTTTGAATCCATTTATAAAAAAAAGAGATAACACAAATATTTAGATTGTTAAATATATATAATCAAATATATCAATGTTTCCAAACTTCAATGAAAAGGTTAGGAAGGAAAATGCCAACAATAAACAAGAGAGGATAACAGCAACTGACGTTGAAAAAAATGAAAATAACAACATAATCAAGATCTTGATGTTCCACAAAGAAAAAAATATAAGAAAGATAAAGGTATTTATATGTTGGAACAGAGATAACATCTATTGACTTGAGATTAAAATGGATTTGATAAAAAGTGTTGAAATTTTACACTATTAAAAGAAGAAAAAAAAGGTTTGGAAAATTTTCCCATCCATATATTAAAGAGAGAAACAATTACTCAAAACACAAACACTTGACAAAGAATCTTCAAAATAATCAAGATGTTGACGTTCCACCTTACTTCTAAAAAAAGGTTAGGAAACTTCCATCAAAACTGGAAAGAGAGATAACAGCTACTGGACTTAAAAAAAATATTTTGACATAATCAAGATAAAAATGTTCACACCCCTTCAAAAAAAGGTGAATGTTAAAATCTCCTATATATATGGAAAAGAGATAATAGCTACTGGACTTTTAAAAAAAAATAATGACATAATAAAAAAATGTTGATGTTAAACACTACTTCAAAAAAGGGTTAATGAAGGTGAAAACAATATGAAAAAAATGTGATAAAATTTTTTCATGGATATGAAAAAACTGTTGCAATAAAAATCTGTTTTAAGAAAAAGATTTTTTAAATTTAAAAACAAAAAGCCGGCAACTGTCTATCTCAGTCAATAGAATTTTCTAAAATGTTTCCTCATCGGATGTGTATATAAATACTGCCATTACCGTTTTGAATTTTCAATAATAAGAAAAATTAAAAAAAATATAACAGCATCACCACAAGATGCTCGTTTTTCCTTCGTTTTTTATTTGTTTGTTTTTCAAAAACAAAATTTTTAAATCATAGTTTATTACATTACAATTTTCTATTTTATATCAAATTAACAGTATTTCTTTACATAATTCACTAGTAATATCAGGGTTGTTTATTACATTTTTATATAGGAATATTTAAATATAACTCAATAATTTAAAACATCAGAAACATTTCATTTTTAATTTTTAAAAGTTTGAAATGATTTTAACAAATTCAAATAAATTACTGCACAGTAAATATTATTTTCAAATTACATTGCCTAAAAATATCAAATGTAAGTTTGTTTTTTTTTCTTTAATTATTTCTGGGAAAATTAGTAAATTTATTTTAAAAGAATTGGATATTGGGATATTTCAGAAATAATAAATTCTATCTAAAATTGTTATTTCATGTTTTTTTTGCATCCCATTAAATATTTTGCATCAACAGTTTTTCTCAGGGTGCTGAAAATTACAATGAAATGACAAAATTTATTTGAAAAAAATGGGCGTGGACAGGTTGGAAATTTTTTCTTATTAAATATATCGATTTTCTATTATTTGAAAATCTAAAAGGAGTACTCCATTCTTGGACTGTCCGAACAAAATCCAGAAAAAATAAAAAATTTATAAATAAAATATTTATATCTTTTTTTCAATCTTTCTTATTCCAATTTTCGACTCAATTTATTTTTTTCTACAAACACACTTTCACAAACTGTTCTGACAGTACCATTCTAGTTCTCAAACTGCATGAATTTAAACGTGCAAATAATTTGGCATCTCATGGAGGAACTATTTCACTGTCGAAACGAAAAATCAAGCCATCTCTTCTACTATCTATGTGTTTTCATGTCTCGCATTTCCCGTCTTTGGAATAAATTTTTTACTTTTTTCCTTGATAGCTATAATCTCCAATTATTCAAATGTAATATCAATCGATATCTCCTGATGCCTTGATCTATTCCCCGTCCATCTCCTTTATTCTATCACGCCTCTATACTCTTGCTAGATCAATCTCTGTTTTAATTTTGCATTGTTCTTGGCTAATATGTAAATAATTGAAATCTTAAAAAAAAAAAAAAAATAAGACAGTAATTGAAAATTATCGCAATTAAAAATATATAAAATTGATATGATTTATAAAAAAAAAACCTTCAATAATTTCAATTAGTTCTCTTGTTTTTATTTCTCCAAAAAATGACAATTTTTATCTTGGATCACGTGTTGATATTGATTTTTAAGAACATAAATTTACCCATCAATCACAAAATGAAAGGTTTAGAAGGCACAAACAAGATCGAAATTTAACTTTTTTTTTTTTCTGTTTGACAATTTTGATAACCATCTTGAACACGCCGAGTTGCCAAAAGTGTTATATATTTAAATAAATTCTATTCTATTTTTAATAGACTCTCCCATATAAATAATAATAGTAGTAAAAATAGAATATAAGTATTTAGCCAATAGTAGCTTCTCGACAGGGGGGCTTAGTGTGTTGACCAGAAAAAATAATGTCAGACATTGAACAATTTAAACAAATAATATTTGTTCATGAATAATTGCAAGTTCTAACGATTACTAATTTAAATAATTTAGGACGACTAATATTAAATAATAATAATCATTCCTTCCTTCATTGG